TTGCGGACACACATCTGTATCCTGTGCTGACACGCTATTTTGTTTTGCTGCAAACCACACGAGTCTGCATCTAGAGAGGACAACACATTAGTCATCCCAAGCGTCCTTACACAGCCTCTTTACAACCCTGGCTGCCTGAAATTGCAGGCACGCTCTCACCTTCTCCAGGCTGTCAGTTCACCTATTACCAACTGTTGTTGCTCCACTGAGATTACCTGCCAGTTTCCAGTCCCTGGATTTACACATGAGCCCTGTTCATCACCTCAGATGGCCAAACCATTCATCAGTAAAAGAAGGGCTCACTAAGAGACTGAGCAAGCCTGGGAACCATCACAAAAAAGCGCAGTCCTGAATTAGTAACATTGCCTGGGAGGCTGAAAGCGGAAGGTTGCTTTGGAACACCATGGCATGTACATGCAGGATGCCCGACTACACTGCATTTGCTTTGTTTTCCCAACATTTTGCATGTTCATAGACCAGCATGACTGCTACAGATCTATTTTAAGACCGCTCATGTCAGTACAGCCGAGTGTCCAGTTTCTTGGCAGACATCTACAGCGATACATGCCCAGCCCATGGTGCAGACAAGAGCATCTCCTCCGAAGGAGCGAGACTTGAAAGTAAGACCTCACAGAACCCACATTCCTTGATAACCTGCACAACCTTGAAAACAGAGCTGGGACTGAGGTGGGCGATGGATAGGTGGCAGTGGCAGAAGTTGAGCAACTAGGGAAGAAAGGTCTCTAGGGTAAACGACCCCTCACTTTACCTACATAAAGCATACCAATGAATCACAGAACTATCTGTGCCAGGTTTGTTTTGCTTTAATGAGCTGTGGGTTAATTATAACTCACACTATGGCTGTGTGGTAAACACACATCTTCTCTTAAAGAAGTAGTAATAAAGGGACAGGGAATAAGTCACAAAGCAAATCAAAGGGATGGTTGGGAAAGGGAGAACCAAATCCTCGGCTTCTGCTCAGCATTTTTTACCACTGCTTCTTACTTGCCCTATCCCCCCGCTCCTGTAGTGAAAGGAAGAGGGCTGGGAGACATGTTGGTCAGTCTCAACATGAAAAGATACTAGGACGAATGACAGGGTTGGGGGACAGGACACCTAAACAAATGTACGAGCACCTAAAAAGTAACACAGTGCTAAAATAACAGCCAACGTGTTTTTCAAGACGAAATGGTGGCATACCATTCCCGTTCCTCTAAGTGGTTAATTAGATCAGTGAAGAAGAGGGGAGCAGGGGGTGGGCTGTATCTTAACCTTTTTAAGGCCCATAACCCTATTCCATGCAAATTCCCTATAAGCAAACAAGGGAAATACTGTCTTGCTGTAATTACCATAAGGTGGGCGCATGAACGGGTGCATAAAATACTGCACTGAGAGACCAATTATCAATGGTTGACTGTCAAACAAAAGAGATATTTGAAAAGAGGTACCATGGGGGTCAGCCCCAGGCTTTAGTCTATTTAGTATTTTCATTAAAAATTTGGATGATAAAGCAGAGGGTACATGAACAAAATCTGCATGCAATACCATGGTGGGGGTGGGAGAAGGGCATCACCAGTCCTTTGGAGAGCATGCTTAAAAGTTATTTTCCAAAGTGGGAAATGGGCCTAAAGCTAACCTGATAAAATCTCGTAAGAAGAAAAGTAAAAGATTGCCTCTCAGCAAGAGGAATACAAAGGCAAATGAGCTGCTCAGAGAAGCCTCCCTCAGGACGGCTGGCACACCGGCTCCCACGGGGAACAGCCGATGGCCCTCCGAACAGCCTCCAGCTCTGCCTGCCTGCAACTCCTCCAGACAGACCCGAGACCCTGGCGACAAGGCATGCCCTGCAGCAAGAGGTCAACACCTTCTCTCCAAGCTTCTCTGAACATTCAAGATTTAAAAATCTCTTATGTGTTAGAAATACCAAAACAAATAACTGGCAGTATTGTTCAGGCACCTTCCCACACGATCAGTTAATACCTTATTGCCAAATTACTTAAACCAGTCATTTCTTGGGCTAGGCCCGCATTCAGGCATCGAGACTGAAGTTGTTCAGGTGTCAGATCCTGGTGATCACCTGGCAAAGCGACGACAGTCAACTTGCCTCCTTCCTGGTCACAGCCAGGAAAAGAAGAAACACAAACAAAAACTCGTGAACATTTGCTGTTCAAGCAGCTGTGGACTACTGGGGTCTCCTCTGACCAGCCCAGGTCTTTATTCAGTGGATACATATTCAGGTGTGGATGACTTTAAAAGGAACACTTTGCATTCATCTTTAAACAACAAAAAGCTGTGTGCCTTAGTCTTGATTCTGTCCCACCAGTGGGAATCCTGTTGTCTCAGGAAGGGTTAACAGTCTACAGTGCTAAGATTAGGAGGCACCTGTCGGGAATAATTAGAAACGCTGATGCACATTCTCCAGATGATTTGGCAGAAGTTAAACAATTTGATATGCCCCCTGTCTGGGAAACTTAAAAGATCTCTCACATAAGTCTTTTGCTTGGAAAAGTCTGGGAAGTCCGTGATGCAGTTCGGTAAGAAAAGCTACAGGATCACAGGGATCATTACACAGACACAGGAGGAAGTCCCAAACAACAAGGCTTCACTAAGCCCAGGGTGGGTGCCGTTCCAGCACATACCAAGATTCCGGAGACAACAGCGGGATACGGTGAAGTCTGGCTGCCCCAAAACGGGCAACCAGCAGCAGCAGTTCTGCTGGGTGGGAGCCAGAGGCAAGGACTGGCTCCAGCTCCTCTCCACAAAGGCAGGACCAGCCCAGGGAGCAGAGAGGCCCAAACATTTTCTGCTACGGGCTCCCTCCCTGCGCTGCTGGCCCCAGCAGCGGGGTCCGAGTCGCAGGGTGAAGCCGCGGGTATGCGAGTGTGCCCGGCGCCTCCTCCTGCGAGCCCCCGGCAGGGCACA